AGTTAATAAGAGAAAGCTTTACTTTAGAACGGGGCTGGAGGGCAGAATGGAGACTGCAGAAATTATGGAGAGGTAGAGGCAGGGAGACCTGGTAGTTGAGGTAGAGATGCACGTGGGTGCAGTATTGGGAGTTGGAGAGGTGATAGAGGCTTGTGTTGAATCTGTGGGCAGTCTAGCACTGCTAAGCCAGGGTCGTTGGGAATGAGTAGAAGATCAGTGTGCAGGAAGACTTGCAAAAAGAGCCTTGTAGGAAAACCCTGTGACACTGTGATTCAAGTTCTTATCTCCACGTTGACTAAAGCCGTGCTTGACATAGTGAGATGATAATAATGAAACTGAGATTGGGGCATGGATGGATAGGACCAAGTTGAAAATTTTGTGCATTTTAAGGTGGTGTTATGTTGTTACTGTTCTTAGGTGCCATCGAGTTGATTCTGACTCAGAGCGACCCATGTGACTGTAAAACTGTCCGATAGAGTTTTCTAGGCTGTAATCTTTTCAGGAACAGATCGCCAAGCCTTTCTCCCTGAGAGCCACTGGGTGGTTTTGAACCTGTCAGCCTTTCGGTTTCAGGCAGGGCTCCTTGGTGGTGTTATAGAAATATTTTTTTTTAATTGTGGTAAAATACGTATAACAAAAAAGTTGCCACTTTAACCATTTTTATGTGTACATTTCAGTGATATTAATTACATTCACCACTATTTCCAAAAGTTTTTCATCACCCCAAACAGAAACTCAGTATCCCTTAAGCAATAACTCCCCATTCCTCCCTCTCCCCAGCCTAATAAACTTTTGTTTCTATACATTTGCATATTCTAGGTATTTCACAGAAGCAGGATCACCCAACATTTATCCTGTTGTGTCTGACTTATTTTACTTAATTTTTAATAGAAGTGTTTTCATCTGTCAAAACAAATTATTAACCAAAACGTCTTTCATAATCAAATTGACAGACAGAGGGCTAGTGCCTGTAGTATATGATAAAGAAATTTTCTCAGTTCCTGATACATTTTCTCAGTTGTCAGATAGCACCTGGAAATGATTGTTTTCTTTTATTTTCAGAAATAAAAGCATACTTTAAGCTCTGACATATCCTTTGACATTGATTTTGAGGTGTTGGTAAAAATAATATGGCAACAACCAAACTGTACCTTTGTATAATATTGTACACACTCATTTCAAGTATTTTTTTGCTACATTACTATGTGCTTATACAGAACTTGTATTGACATCATCTGATAAAGAACTTTCCTTCAGTTGCTAGCTTCAAGATTTCTTGGTTGCATGAGTACATGTTTTTCGGGGGAAACATTTGAACATTAAAAGAAAAAAAATCCAAAAAACGAGTGCATTATTAACACACATACACACTGAATATTTTGGGCTAAAGAGAGAGCATTAATCAGAGGTGGGGAAAAATTCAATTCAAATTAATTTCTTAGACTGCTGGTGTTGGGATTTTTAAGGGGGTTGGGAATGGGCAGGAAATTTCACTTTAAAATCATTTAATTAGAGAACCATAAATTATTTTAGTCTATGTAGTCTCCCTGAGCCTTTTCACCAGTTTCTACGGCTTTAATAGCGTCTTGTCTCTTTTCTTAGCTCCATAATTGAATAACAAACTACTCCCAGGATATGGTCACTTTGAATGTCCCAAAGCACTTTAAAAGTGACTTGTCCAAAATTGAGCATTTCATTGGCTTTCCTCTCTGACTCTGCTCTTTCTGTATTCTCTTAACCTATTTTCATGATTGTTGGCATCATCCATCAAGCTGGTTAAGACAGAAAACTGGGAAAACTTACTTTCTCTGCATAGTAATTCACCAAGTTGTCTGAATCTACCTGTTAATTCTCTTTGATCCATGCCTTTTTTCCTACCTCACTTTCCGGCTTTAGTATACTTTTTTCATTTTTAATTTTGACTGAAATTCTTCTAACTGATCTCCTTGTTTCAATCCCACCTCTGCAGTCTGCTCTTACGCTACTATCAAAAGTATCAGAAAAGCAGATGTGGTTATGTTACTCTTTCACTTCAAAAAATTCAGTTAACACTTTTTTTTTTTTTTTTTAATGTTCACATCATGCCAGGTACTGTACTGAATTTAGTGGCTACTTAGCTTCATTGCCCAGCCCTACTTTTCAGTCTCATCTCTAGCTTCTTCTCCAAATAAGGTTTAAACTTACAGTTTAAATCTAGCTGTACCAAACAACTTACAGTTCCCCAGATACATCATATTGACTCTTGGCTTTTGTTCATGTTGTTCCTTCCCCCTGGGGTAACTCCCTAGCTCTTTTGTTCCCATCTGCTCTATATTATTCAGGCTCATTTCAGCCTTCTATTTGGAATACTCCACCACTGCTCCTGTGCCAGTGATGGATGCTCCACAGACTCTTTGAAGTATCTTATTAGAGTGGAAAAAAAATTATCTCTGGCTTAATAGACTTTATTTTTTAATAGCAGTTTTAGGTTTACAGAAACATTGAGCAGAAAGTACAGAGAGTTCCCATTTACCCCTGGCTCCCTCCACGTTGTTTGAGCTATTTAGTCCTGTAATACATTTGTTGTAACTGATGAACCAGTATTGATATATTATTATTAATTAAAGTGTATAGTTTATGTTAGGGTTTGCTCTTTGTGTGGTGTAGCCCCTTGCCATTGGGTCGATTCCAACTCTTAGTAACCCTGTAGGACAGGGTAGAACTGCCCCGTAGGGTTTCCAAAGCTGTAATCTTTATGGAAGCAGACTGCCACATCTTTCTCCCTCGAAGTGGCCGATGAGTCTAGACCCCAATCTTTCAGTTAGCAGTTGCTTGCTTTAACCACTGTGCCACCAGGGTTCCTTTGTGTTTTGTTTTAAAAAAATTGCTGTCTAGTCAATTTCAACTCATAGCGACCCTCTGGGACAGAGTAGAACTACCCCATAGGGTTTCCAAGGAGTGCCTAATGGATTTGAACTGCTGACCTTTTGGTTAGCAGCTGTAGCTATTAATTACTATGTCACCAGGGTTTCCTTGTGTTGGATAGTCCAATGGATTTTGACAAATGTTTAATGCAGTGTGTCTACTATTACAGTATCATACAGAATAGTTTCACTGCCCTAAAAAACCCCAATTCTGTCCTGGTTTTTATTCTCAGCTCCATTACTTACTGTGACCTTGAATAATGAGTTTGATATCTGAGTCTCAGCTTCCTCATTTAAAAAATGAGAATATGGTGAAAATTAAGTAAGAAAGAGTATATAAAATACCTGCCAGAATATCTGACATAATCTTGATATTTGAGAAATGGTCCTACCTTTTTTTAGTATCCTATGCATATTTTTTAACAGTATTTTTTTTTAATTTAAACAAATGATCAGGTTATACATACACAAAGTAAATGACTAAAAGAGTACGAAAAGAATATGCAGTTAAAACTAAGTTTTCTCTCCAAAAACAGTAATACTTAACATTTCCTTGTAACATGGTGTTGCTTATTTTGTCTTTTATTTTTGGGCCTCTGTGCCTAGCACAGAGCCCTGGTGGTGCAGTGGTTAAGAGCTTGGCTGCTAACCAAAAGGTCGGCAGTTCGAATCCACCAGCCACTCCTTGGAAACCCTATGGGGCAGTTCTGCTCTGTCTTGTAGGGTCACTGTGAGTTGGAATCGACTTGATGGCAACAGGTTTGGTTAGGCTTTTGATGTACCTAGGACAGTAAATGATCATTAAAAGAATAAATGGTTAAGTAGTCAACTGGAAATAATAAAATGACACTAATGACTGGAAGGCTGGTGACTTCTAGAAGGTAGATGAAGAGTTAGTAGTAGGGTTCAAAATTAAGAAGCCTAAAATAGAGAAATATGTTGAAGAAGATAGGAATCGTCTTAAGTACATTAGGATTTTAAGAGACCTTGATTAGACATAGGAAATCCTGGTGGCTTAGTGGTTAAGAGCTGTGACTGCTAACCAAAAGGTTGGCAGTTTGAATCCACCAGGCACTCCTTGGAAACTCTGTGGGGCAGTTCTACTCTGTCTTATAGGGTTGCTATGAGTCGGAATCACCTCGACGGCAACGGGTTTATTTTTTGATTTTGATTAGATATCAGAGTAACTTTAATTTCACATATAAAAATTTGTTATTTAGTAGCATTCTGTACTGTTCTGTACTCTATACTTTCTGAATTTTTATTGTGCATATGTGTGTATATTTTAAAAAGTATGTCTAAAACATTGCTGTTCTTGTGCTTTCAGAGGAAGTTTGGAAGGGAAGAGAGAACAGAAGAGCTATAAAGCTGTCCTTGAAGACCCAATGTTGAAGTTTTCAGGACTGTACCAAGAAACATGTTCTGACCTTTATGTTACTTGTCAAGTTTTTACAGAAGGGAAGCCTCTGGCCCTGCCAGTGAGAACATCTTACAAGGCATTTAGTACAAGATGGAAGTAAGTTATTTACTTGTACATAATAGAAGCTTTTTTCCTAAT